GCGTTGTACAGGTGTGGACGTGGGCCTAATTTGACCAGCAGAACCTTTATTACTGGTTGGGGTGCAAAAGAAGGAATGATTCCAGCAGGGCTCTTTGAGCTCAGTTTGAGTTTTCAGGACTGGTAGTCAAAATGCATGGTTGTTTTTTTTTACTTTTAAACTGAGCACACTCTTAAACACAACACAGGTTAGATATTGGGAAAAACTTTCTAACTATAAGGGTAGTTAAGCTCTGGAATAGGCTTTCAAGGGAGGTCATGGAGTTCCCATCATTGGACACTTTTAGAAACAAGTTGGACAAACACCTCTCAGGGATGGTCAAGGTTTCCTTGGTCCTGCAATGGCACAAGAGGCTGGACTTGATGACTTCTCGAGGTCTCTTCCAGCCCTACATTTCTATGATTCTATGATATGCAAATCATTGTGAGGCACACGGAACCCCACAATGCCATTTCAGCCACTTTTCAAAGCAGAACTATGGTTTAAGGGTGGGAATTTCAAAATTGCTCAGCATTGGCCAAAGTCTGCTCCCTCTGATGTCAATGGAAATTTTACCATTGAATTCAATGGGAGCAGTATAGGTCAACATGGTGTGCTTAGAAAATTCTACTCCTTTAGAGAATGATAGGCCATCAAGTCATCTAAATGTGCCCTCCCTAAACAGGAGATAGTTGTGTTTAAAACAAACGAAAAAGACAGTTTGTTTTGGCATTACTGTAGATTAAATTAAGGGTGTGGGAGGCTTTCGAAGCAATGGCTAATGGAGCTTCCAGCCTTTAGGGAGAACGCTGCTCAGAGCAGCAGTACAAGTTTAATGACTGAAATGTTTTTTAGCGTACAAGTGGGACCATGTTACTCTGTGCTTATCTAGTACGGTTGTTCACATTTACCTTTCTCTTTCTTTAGAAATGAACAACGTGGGAGATAAATTCTTGATGTTATAATATTGCTCTTATTGTTCTTTACACACTGATCTTCATATAGTTATTTTTACATGTTGCTGACACTCTTTTGGATCATACTTTTGTTTAAAATGTTTATCTGTTTCCAGTTTGGGGATTTCTAGGTGTTTATCTTGCCTTATTTTTTTATGTTTTTGCTATTCTCAATAGAAACAATTTTTAAAGCTCACCTTGTAAAGTATTTTGGGCTTCCCACATGATAAGTCTTCGGAGGAGAAATCACCTGCCTGGAACATAATTTTTTTGGTATAAATTTTCTTCGTAATAAAAAAACAACTACCAAGTAGAGTATTAGAGAAGCACTTATATTCATTTGATTTTAATACTTTCCACTGATAATGTTCTTTGCAATAAATGAAACACTTTATGGGCCTGACTTTCAGAGGTTCTGAACATCCACAGCATCCACTGAACCTGATCCATTGTGCATTGATGTCAACAGCAGTCTTTCCATTGATTTCAACAGGCACTGGATCTGGCTCATTGACCTGAACTGAAGTACTAGGTGCTCAGTGTGACGTGATGCCCCATATTCTTCATAGAAATATTGTTATGATACGAATATGGCATAACTAAGATATGTTTTATGCAAGATGGGTCATGCGAGGTATCATTGGAAAGGTTATGATTTACTGAATGTGATTATCCAATTTGTATGCATGTATCATTTCTGTATCTGAAGTTAGAAATATTGACTATGTAATAATTACAACTGTGTTTTCACCTGGGGAACGCCCACCAGAAGTCTGCAAATAGCTTGAATGGGCTATTAGGAAGGATACTAATCTCCCTCCTTCCTGAGAAGTTTCCTGGGATGCTGCTTTAACACTGCAGGGTCATGTGATCATGTCACCTGGTACAGGATACCATCTTGACGTGCTGGTACTTTTTCACGGGAAGGGGTTGGGAGTCAAACTGGGAAACAAAGGATTCCTGCCAAATACAAATCCTATTTAAGGCTGGGGAGTGAGTTAATCTAGACTCTTCTCCACTTCCTCCCGACCCAAGAAGGAAGACTGCTGAAAACAGCTGAAGAAACAAAGGAATTAAGCTGGGGGAGGCAGGGGCTGAGCAGAGGCGAGAAAGGTCAGCCTGTGAAGGGTATACCTGGAGATTTAAACTGCAAGCAGTGCAGTTTACCTTCAAGAAACTCTGCAACCTGCATAAAACAACTTTTAGGGAGAGAAATTACTGTTTGTAGCCAATTTCTTTAATGTAGTCCGTCTAGTTTGCGTGTTTTGTTTTATTTGCTGAGTAATCTGCTTTGTTCTGTTTGCTATCCCTTATCACTTAAAATTTACTTTTTGTAGTTAATAAACTTGTTTTTTGTTTATTCTAAAACTCAGTTTGTGCAATTCATAACTGGGCAGGGGTGGGGGGGGAACTGAGTATATGTTCCTCCACATTGAGGGAGGGGGCGAATTTCATGAGCTTACGATGTATAGATCTCTATACAATGCAATGCAACATAATTTTGGGTTTACACTCCAGAGCAGTGGTGGGCAACCTGCGGTCCGCGGGCCACGTGCAACCCATCAGGGTAATCCACTGGCGGGCCGCCTGACAGTTTGTTTACATTTGCACGGCCATCTGCAGCTCCCAGTGGCCCTGGTTCGCCATTCCCAGCCAGTGGGAGCTGCAAGAAGCGGTGCAGGCCACAGGGATGGGCTGGCTGCTGCTTCCCGCAGCTCCCATTGGCCAGGAATGGTGAACCACGGCCACTGGGAATGGTGGGCGGCCGTGCAAATGTAAACAAACTGTCTGGTGACCTGCCAGCGAATTACCCTGACAGGCTACAGGTTGCCCACCACTGCTCCAGAGGGTATGGGCACAGGAGTGCTGGGAAATTCCCCAAGCTGAGTCCTCCCATACAGAGCTGATTCCAGACTGTGTGATTCTATAGCTGGGTGTGTCCCTACCTGTGTGTGTGTGCTGGAAGGGGCTTGAGAGCCTGTCATAGCAACACAGAGTAAGGGGAACCCAGGCTGGTGGGATAGGTGGGCTCAGTGAGACCCCAGCACATCAGCTGGAGGCCCGGAAGGGGGGGTCCAACCCATCACACTCAGAACTTCTGAAAATCAGGCCCTACCTATATAAACAACCTGTCTACAAGCCTGATGTTGTTTTTACTCTGGCAAAACTCCCACTGACTACATGATTAGCCTTTTTATAATGTCCATGGCTCCTTCAGAGATCCAAATGTATATTATAAATAAGCAGAGATGGTAGGGAAGAAATTATATAGACCTGATGCAAGGTTTACTGCACATTTTCTAAAAGGCAAAGTTGAAGCGGGTTTTATGGCAGAAGATGGTTACTATACTTAAATACCGAGGCATGTTCCTATAAGTATTCCAAGCATAGTGAATGAGTTACCTGTATGCTCTTTTAAAAGTTGCCTGAAAAGGTAGCATCTCAGATTAATTTCCAGTCTGGCTACACATTTTGTGTGGTTTTTTATAACATGACTGAAATAGTGGGGTTTTTTACCCACGAAAGCTTATGCCCAAATAAATCTGTTAGTCTTTAAGGCCTGGTCTACACTGGGGGTGGATCAAGCTAAGATATGCAACTTCAGCTACGAAAATAGTGTAGCTGAAGTCGACGTATCTTAGATCGACTTAGACGTACCCTAAGGTGCCACAGAACTCCTCGTTGTTTTTGTGAAATATCTGACTTACACTTTAAACAGGATGTGCCTGAAGTAAAACATTATTTCAAATCCAGAAAGACCCAAATATTCCCTGTTCTATACCTGAGCCTTCCACTTGCCCTGCAAAATGTACTTCTTCAGGAAAAGTAATTTAATGTACAGTAAGAAGGATGGTTAACATTGCCATTTATTGGAAAACACTGTGAAAGGATTTGAAGAAAACTGTACTGAGAATGGAGTTACTTTGAACTGTTCTGATGTAAATGAAGCGATAGGAGAGAAGGGAAAAAATGTGTTGTAGACAGATAAGTAGTGTGGATAGCTGACTGCCTGCTCTACGTAGAAGCCTGTAGATAACAAAATCATGTAAAGTGGTATATGCTGTATCTCTGATTTAGGCCTTGATTCAGGAAAGCATGTATCTTAATTTTAAGCATGTATTAACATGATTTCCTGTACTGGTGTCTTAAAATTCAACCTGTTAAAAATTCTTTATTTATAGCAATTACCTGTTATCACTTATATTAATGCTACAGTCCAACTAAGAAATGTTATGCAAGATTTCTGTTTCTACTTGGAAAGGTACTTTTGTTACCTGCATTAGGTGTGATGCATTGTCCATTTTCCTACATTATGATGATGATGCCTTCAGGAAAAGTTCAACTGCATTTTTTCATAAATAAATGAATCTTTTGGTTCAGAGTTTTTCAAAAATGACTTGTACGCACTTAAGGCTAGAGCCTGCTCCCTTTTAAGTCAATGGGGACTAGATTATTACTATTATTTATACTGATTGGGCTCTAAATTTAGAACAGCTCTGTACCTTTTTTCTGTACAGTTTGTATTCTTTTTAAATAGAAGGCTTTTTGTTTCAGGTCATATTTTTTGGAAGTAAATGTAACATGTTTTACCACACCATGATATGAAACTTCATAACATTTCATACACTGAACATAAACTTTGCTCAGCTTTGAAAAACAGGGCCTAATTCTGCTCTTACACCAGCGTAAATGCAGAATAACTCAACTAATATCAATGCAGTTACACTGTACTTACTAAAGGGAATATCAATATCCTTTGTGTTTATAATAGATGTGTGTGTGTGTATAATAACACACATAATGTATATGCCATTAATTATATAAAAATTACATAACGTATACAATATACACTGTATGCACACACAAATACACATATATATGTATGTGTAACACACATAGACATATATCAATATATATGTATGTGGTATGTAACAAATATGTGTGTGGGTGTAAAGTATACTATAAACATGTTTATATAATGAATGGAGTGCATATCTCTACATTGTTAAGTACAGTAGTTTGTATATTCTCAATGCAGTTTATTTATTTAAAAAAAATACTCACCTTCTCAATTTTTCGGTTACTTTTTCAAGTTCTTCCTGAGCACGTCTCAGTTCAATTTCAAGATATTGGCGAGTAGAATCAAATTCTGTTTCAAGCATTTCCAGTTTGTGGGTAGTGTAGGATAGGCGCTTCCGTAATTCCCCCTTCTGTTCTTGCAAAGTACTGGAAGAACAAACACTGCAGTTATAGCATTTAGAAGTTCTGGAAGACTCTTTAATGATCCACTATTTTCAAGTGGCCTCATTATCCATATTTCCCCAAAAATATGGCTTTGTAGCGAGAAAGAGAACAGTACTTATTCATCTGTTTACTAATTTTTGTTAAAATTTTATTTAAAATAATCATGTTGACAATCTCTCTCCATTCATCCTTTCTAGGACACCCATCACTGGTATCCAAATGCCATCATAGGACATTTTGTGGAAGTATCCTCAATAAAAATATAATACATTTTAGAATACATTGAAAACCAAATTTTGGTTTTATGTGATGTCTTTCATTCTGAAATGATCTGAAACTGCTTTATGTAATGCTATGTACAAACAGCCTCAATTCCCCATCTGTAAAATAATAATAATAATCTGGCTTTGTCTAGTTAGATTATAAACTCTTCAAGTCAGGGATTGTCTCTTACTTTGTCTGTACAGTGTACAGCAAAATGAAGTCCCGATAAAAAGTTGGAATCCCTAGCTGCAACTGCAATGTAATAATAATACAGACTCTTCATTGTTATGTTGGCTTTGAGTATGAGCTCAGGTCCTGATCTGGAACTTGAATCCACTATGACCTAGTGGCATGAGTGTTACCAAATGAATCACATTTGTCACCGTAACAGGGCAGCTTGCCCCTTTAAGAGCCCAGAGCCCTTGGGCTAGTAAGCTCTGTTCAATGAGCCCTGCCCTGCTACACCTGCACTAGGTGTTGGGTTTAAGAGGAAGGAAGCTCAGCAGTGGAGAACCAACTAGAGAAGAGAGCAGAAGGCAACTAGAGGCCTGTGGAGGACAAGAGGTCCTCAAGAAAGAGCAGGGAGCAACCTCAAGGGGACTGGGGGGCTGAGGGGAGAGATGGTAAGCTGCCTAGGCAGGACAAAAGCTGAGCACAGAGGGTAGGCAGAACAGTGCTTGTAGTAGAAGAGAGAAGACAGACCCTTTGGGAAGGAAGGTTTGAGACAAGGGCAATTATTTTGGTTTTTTTTATTGCTTTGGACATGAAAACTCTGGGAGGGGTGGAGTTTTGTTAATGACTTAGCTGGAGGGTCAAGTCACTGCAGCAAGTCACCTCCACAGCAGGAGTAGGCCAAAGATCAGTGTGAGGAAACTGAGGTGTAAGTGGTGTGATGCTGGGTCTCACCATAAGGGGGTGCTTTAGGACAGTGAGCCCTGTACAGTCACCTTGCTTACTTTTGATATACGCTAAATATAACATTTCATAAAATAAGGGCCAAATCCTGATTCCTTTGATGTCAATGGCAAAACTACCATGGATGTCAAAGGATTAAGGTTTTGAATGTAAACACAGTTTATGCCTGTACCTAAACTTACTGTGCTGGGGCCTGAAAGAATGTTAAGGGGCTACTTACCATTGACTAAAGGCCAGATATAACTTAGAGAATTTTTTCACTTCAAGGTCCCAGAAACAAAGACAAGGTTTTCATCTCGAGGCCAAAAGACCAAAAACATCAAGACACTTGATCACGGCCTTGGATAGACCAAGAGACTACCTACACTTGACCAGAGCTCAGAACAGAATCACCCAAAATCATGAGACTGGGGCCCAAAATTTTGATTTAAAAATCTATCAAATCATGTTTTTTAGGCTGTCTTTTGACTTTTTTTTTTTTAACTCCCCTCTAGTCCTCTGCTAATGTGTCTGAGATGATTTTAGGTTGAAAAGTCAACCTTAAAGGCACACAAAAATGCGTCTCCTTGGCTGCTCAGATGGAGACTCCACTCACCCCCTCCTCACCCCTAAGGTAGGGGAACTGCCCTCTGCTAACAATCCCCCTCCTAGCTTATTTTCTTTTGGGGAAAAATGGGCTGGCTCCAGACAAACTGACCTAATTAACGCAACATGAGTCACACTCACACATAGAATTTGTTAATGTGTAGGGTTGATGAGTTACAGATACACAGATGAAATAACTTTTTAATGTATATAAGTGATAATGTCTCAATAGAGAGACAAGATGAGTGAGGTAATTTTACTGGACCAACTTCTGTTGGTGAGAGAGACAAGCTTTTGAGCTTACACAGAGCTCCTCTTCAAGTCAGATTGTTTAGCATAAGTAGTTAACTCATATTTCATGGGACCATTCAAGATGAAGTGGCCCAATAACACCCTTGCAGTCATAGGCGGGAGGGGGAGGAGGAGGGGAGGAAAGGAGGGGTTGGAAAGGCAGCTCGGGGAGGACTTGGAGGGTTGTTACTGGGTTATACATTTTTGTAATTGTAGGGAGGTGGGGTGGTTCCCTGGTGCCCCAGAGAGGGACTAGCTCTGCCAGACACCAGAGTGGGCGGAGCCAGAGTACTCCAAGCCCGCCCCCCAGAGGGTCAGAGGCCAGACAGGAAGTATAAGAGCCCAACCCCAGAGCTCACTCGAGAGGCAGCCAGCCAGCCTCCAGCCCAGCTCCCACTGGGGAGACTCCAGCAACCAGCGGCGGACCTGGAGACTGGCCTGACCGGCCGACACTCGACATGGATCAGCGTGTGGGAGAGTCGCTGAACCTACCCCTCGCCAGCTACCCCGAGCATCCAATGGTGATTGACCCCCCCCCCGAGGGCCCCCCCTTGACCCAGGTACCTCCAGAGGGGAAGTTGGGAAGTAGCCCGGGGGCAGCCAACCCAAGTCTGGCGGCAACACAGCCGGAACCCATGTCAGTGTGCTGCGGACGGGATCCCCACTGACAGCAGCGGGCCTTTGGCTGCTGCTAGGGCCCCAGGCTGGGATGCAGTGGAGTGGGTGGACCTGCATCCCCCGCTGCCACCCAATGTGTGGGTGGCAGTCTCCCCATCTCCCAGGCCCCTTGGAGCCTGAAGCCTGGGTGTGCTATTTACCTATGTTTGCTCAGCCCCTGCCTGAGGTCCTGAGCCTTGAACTCATTGCTGCCCCGCCCTGGGCCTGGGCCTGTTGACTATATAAACTGCTGCTCAGCCCCTGCCTGAGTCTGGAACCCATCGCTGCCCCACCCTGACCTAGGGCCTGGGCTTGTTATCTGCTAATTGTTACCTGTGTGTGCTCAGCCCCCTGCCGGACAACTTGAACCAGACTCCTGGGGCCCGACCGATTCCCCAGGGGGCCGTGCAAGGTCTAAGGGAGGCAGTGTGGTTCCCTGCCGCCCCAGAAAGGGATGAACCCCAATGAACCCTCTCTACAGTAATAAGCGATAAATCCAATGTCTCTGTTTAGTCCATGATTTTTAGTGTCTAGCAAAGTTATGAACTTAAGATCCCAGGCTTGTCTTTTGAAAGTGTTGTGCAGGTTTCCTTGAGGATGGGGACTGATAGGTCAGATATGGAATGATCACTTTGTGAATAGTGTTCACCCACAGGAGATATGGGGTTCAAGCACACTATGGGATTGGTTCAGCTTTTGCAAGAAGCAACAATTCCCTGAATCTCCCCCCTACTACTTCTCTGCCCAAGACTTGGCAGTGCTCCTGCCTCTAGGGTGACCAGATGTCCCGATTTTATAGGGACAGTCCTGATATTTGGAGCTCTGCCTTATATAGGTGCCTATTCCCCCCACCCTCGTCCTGATTTTTCACACTAGCTATGTGATCACCCTATCTGCCTCCCACTTCTCTGGACACCCACCCCTCCCTCCTGCCCCTGACATCCCCTGCAACCCATTTCCCTGTAACTCCTAAATTGCCTCCTGTTCCCCCATGCCTACCCCCTCTTACTTGTCCCATCCACCTTTCATAGTATCCATATTGCTCCTCACAGTCTATGTCCCGTCAAGAACCCCTGAACTGAGCCGCAGCCATTTTGCCTGTGGGTGTGTCTTCAATCTAATTGAAAATAGTGGGAGGTGGCAGCTATCTTTATTAAGTGCAGCCTCATTTCCACAAATAGACAGACAGTAGGGAAAGATGGCCATCTTCAGCCCCATTAACAGTAATAGGAGATGGTGGCCATACTGAATCAAGGAAAATTCATGAGTTGGTGCCTTTCATCATATTTTCATGAGACAGATAAAATCTACCCCAGAATTGCTAGAGTCAAGATAAAATTGTCAGAGTTGGCAATACTGCACTTATTTGACTTGTCTGTAATACACTGGCTCTCATTGGTATCTTTTCTTTTTGTTACAAAAAGAACCTACGTATATTAAAGGAAAAAGCTTTAAAATTCCTGCTTACTGTAACAGAGTAGCCTAAATCTTGGAAATAGCCTAATGTTTTGCCAACACCATGTTCTATTTTTATTGAATTTTTTTGTATGATTACAGTTGTACTTGGCTTACCACTAGTAGTTGCACTATTTTAAAAATAATATATCTTAATTCAGGGAACAAATGCTTCTCTGCTTAACACAGTCATCTGGATTTCTATTTTTTCTCTTCTTCCTAAAGGATCAGTACCTTGAAGGAACTATACACTAAATATAGGGCTGGATCCAAAGTGCATAGTGAATCTTTGCATAGACTCCAGTGCATTTTGGAACAGGTCCATAGTGGTTGCTTATAGGGAAGTATCTTTAGAATTATGCATACAGTTATAGTCGGCCTTATAATATTACTATGATACATTATTCTATGAGCACTTTAGGAAGAAGAAAGGAGAAGCAGGAATACTATGTTAAACAGAGACCCATTTGTTGCTTATGGCCCAAGTTAAGCAAAGCATTCAAACATGTGCTTAATTGTTAGGCAGATGCTTTAGTCCCCATGAAGTCAGCTTTGAAGGGTATATGTGCTTATGTGCTTTGCCAAATAGGGATGGGTTATTCACTTGCTTAAAGTTAAGTACATGCTTGAATGCTTGGCTGACTCAGGATCATAGGCAACAACTATAACTATGTAAAACTGAAGAGAAAGTGTTGATATAATTTATTTAGGCTACTTTCAAGACCAGGGTTTATGCTGTTTCAGTAAGCAGTGATTCTGAAACGTGGGGCTGTCCATACACGGAGAAAAGGAGAGGACCATTTCTAGAAACATAA